GCAGTGACCCGTTTCTGCTTTTTTGTCTTTGATGATGGATTCGAGTAGGAATCCTAAACGTCAGGCTAATAAAGCTCTTGTCCCGGCGATCGTGTCTCCTTCTTCAAGACTACTTCCTGGGATTCGTCTCTTCGCTTCTATTGATAATTACTCATGTTTCATTGATTTACCCGAATTTCATTGTACGCAATACAAATGCGTGTACATTCATAATTGGAGTCACAATGCGCAAAACGGAATTCACAGACTAAAGGCATACCAGTACAGATGCCCAGGTCAAAATACAAGTACGTAGTCTAGAAGTTCCTAAGATTTTAATTGCATTCACTTTGGGCAACTGCATACTGAAATATCTTACCTGTTTTATTTACGTACTTGGTAATTATTTTCTAACGTAAAGTGGATTTATAAGCTGAGAAATACAGGCGCAATCAGGTTTTATAAAGATCACATATGTGGCATACAGATAATGAGCTTGTGTCGCGAGCTCTTTAGGAGAAATTACTGTTTTTAATGACCAACAGGCAATGCATATAGCATTAATCTGCTAATTCTTTTTTGAATTGCAAACCTCTGCAGCAAATGTGGTGCCACCAGAAAAATGTCCGACGGTCAACTCTATTGTTTCACTGCCGCTGCTTTTGGAGAAACAGCTGCTTATGCGGCCCAGTATGATGCATTATCTCCGGCTTCGTGATGGAACGATAACAAAACTTAATCTGTCTGTGAAAGGCAACATTACAACAGGAATTTGTTCATTCCCTGAAATATTCAGAGAGGAAGACGTTTTACATTTGCACTGTCAGATTGAGTTCGGGAGAATTAGTCTGAGGATCAGTCACTTGGTAGGACCGACATGTTCTTTGCTAGTTTTGAATGTTCAGGTGTGTTTTTCGGGAAGATTATCGTCAAAACTCTTTTCAATATAGAAACTTCGGCATTTTATGCGGCAGGGAATTTCACCAACAATTTTGGACGCAGAAAACTCTTGGATCGGATGGGCCCAGCACAAGTAGTGGTATTGAGGCAATAACCGTATCTACAGACCATCATTCGCTACCGTCCATATCAACGGCCTCCTCCAAGTCAGTTAAAACTAGCGTCGATCATCGGAACCGCGATAGAGAATGTGTTCCACCACCGCCATCTAATACCCTTAAAGTACCACATCCACCAGAGAGAAATATGTCAACGGAATATACGAACGATATCGCCAGACACCAATGACTCTTTATTCAGGGGCTCCCTGTATCAAATGCGAACACTCCTAAAGAGCGGATTTCGAAAGATCTAAGGTTTTGCCAAGGCTTGCTCAAAAATATCCTAGAATCCACTGAGGCAATTGAAGTACTCAAAGCCTTCCGTCTCGGAAAACGGACAAACAATCTGCCAACACCAACACACCGGCGACCTCTCAAAGTTGTGCTGACTTGTAAGGAGCAAGCTGGGTTGATTCACTCTCAGCTCTTTATAATAAAAGGCACCAACCCCGGCATTTTTTCCAACTTGATTACTCGCCAGCAGAGAGGCTGAAATGTCGTCTTCTAGTTCTAGAGCTGAGGAAGAGACTTAGCGAAGGAGAACGGAATTTGGTTATCTACAACAACCAAATCAGACCATTCTTTCTTTGGACGGGCCTAATCCGAATGATCGCGCAGCTGGCACAGTTGGCGAAAGACCTAGACGCATTAAAACTACTTATCTGACAGCCATAAATCGCAAACTGAAATTTCTATATACAAATGTGCAGAGCATGTTATAGAAAGTTAACGAGCTAAAGATCCATCTATCTGATCTATCCCCGGATATAATCTCACTTACAGAAACTTGGCTGAACCAGCAGGTGAACAACCGTGAGTTAACCATACCAGGATACCAGCTGTTTAGAAGAGACAGGTCAGGACGTCAGGGCGGAGGCGTACTCACGTATGTAAAACACGGGTTTATAGTCTCAGACAAAACAGATAAACATACGTGTATTTCTGAGGCAATTTGGCTAACTATAAAAGCACCGGGTTCACCGAGTCTTGACGTCCTGATGGTCTACCGACCGCCGGGAAATGATCCCACGGCGGACGCCCGTCTGACTGAGGACCTGGAGGGATTCTCTATCGGGTCCGAACTCTTAATCATGGGGGACTTCAATGCACCTCTTATCGACTGGAGTTCAGCTTATGCATCTGGTCCAAACCATGCTTCCGATCGAAGTTTGCTGGATATGACGCTCAGGTTATTTCTCACTAGGCACATCCCTTTTCCGACGAGGGTGCGCGAAGGGCAACAGCCAAACTGTCTGAATCTACTCCTAACGTAGTCACTGGATAGCTTTGATGAGGTGCAATGTCTACCTCCCCTAGGTCGAAGCGACCACGTCGTACTGTTGTGGGAGTACTCCATTTTTTCTCTGCCCGAACAAGCCACCAGATTTAGAAGGAATATCTGGCGCGGTGACTTTGTCCAAATGAAAGCTGAACTGAACACCATAAACTGGGAATCAGCTTTTTCCGGTGACCGACTCAAGGATTGGGACTGGTTTAGTGAGTTATTGCACATTCTTCTCAGAGACCACTGTCCCATTTCACTGAAGAATCTGAACAGCAGACCCCCAGGGCTACCGCAAGCTATAAAAAAGAAGGGAATAAAAAGCGGAGGTTATGGAGAAAATTCCTCTCGTATAGGAGCTATGTGTCGATAAATGCATACAAGGCACAAAGGAACCTAGTTAAGAGGCTAATCCTCGGGACGCGGCGTACTTTCGAGAAAGACCTACTGAATCGAGCCGCAGAAAATCCGAAGTTATTCTATGGCTACATAAGAAGAAGCACACGAAGCAGAGACCCAACCGCGTTATTGAAAGCTAGTGACGACCTAGAACTCAGTGAAGACGGAGAAAATGCAGAGCAACTTTCACAATTTTTTAAGTCCATCTTTACGAAGGAAAGCGCATTTCTCCCACCCGACTGCGACATAGTGGACGGGCAAACGATTGAGCACGTCTTTTTCGCCGAAGCTATTGTTCGTAAAAAAACTGTTGAAGCTGAATGAGTCTTAATCACCTGGGCCGGATGACATACCGCCCAAATTTTTGAAGGAGCTTGCTGGAGAACTATTTAAACCTCTGTCCATGCTCTTCCAAGCTTCGTTCGAAGCAGGCTATTTGCCCGCCGATTGGAAATCCGCGCGGATCACGTCAATTTATAAAGGCGGCAACAAGGTCTTAGCAAAGAACTACAGACCAATCAGCCTTACTTCAATTTCCTGCAAAATTATGGAAAAATAGTTAAGCGAGAAATAATGCGCTTTCTGGAAGAGCATAATCTGCTATGCGATGCCCAGCACGGACTTCGTAGAGGCAGATCATGCGTGACAAACATACTTTACTGTTTAGATCGCTGGGCCCGGGCAGTCGATGGCGGCAATGCAGTGCACGCAGTCTACGTCGACTTTAAGAAAGCATTCGACAGTGTACCACATCAACGTCGCCTGTACAAATTAAGCCGGACAAGCATTAGGGGTAATCTCCTGCAGTGGATCCAAATCTTCTTGATCGGTCGCTCTCAAATCGTCCACGTCAGTGACAGGCAGTCCGTGGAGGTAGCGGTTGAAAGTGGTGTTTCTCAAGGCTCCGTTCTCGGCCCCACCCTATTCATTATATACGTCAAAGACTGCGTCAGTGAACTGAATCGTGATGTTGCCATGTTCGCTGATGATGTTAAACTTTGGAGCGTCATCCGAACTAAATTTGACGAAGAGCGTTTGCAGGCAGACCTGGCCCGATTCGAGAAATGGTCACAGGACAGGCTTTTGCCCTTTAATGTGACTAAGGGCAATGTCTTGCAAGTCGGCAGGACGCGATCTCCGAACCGGAGGGTTTACCACCTAAACGGCATACCATTGCAGGAGGTAGACGCCCAGAAAGACTTGGGTGTGTGGGAAACGGCTTCACTAAAACCGTCGCTCCACTGCTCCAAGTTAGCCAAGTCCGCGATGTCAGTCCTTCATCTTGTCAGGAGAACTTACTCTACCCTCGATGAGGACTGCTTCGTTAAAGTCTTTCGAACATTTGTACGGTCACAGCCAGAGTTCGCTATTCAGGCGTGGGAACCCTGGACATCTAAATATCTCATCATCCTTGAGAAACTTCAAAGGCGTGCAAGCAAACTCGTCAGTGGACAGGCTTCACTACCCTACGAAACACGGCTATCCAATCTCAATATTTTTCCACTGAGCTACAGACAACTAAGAGGCGACCTTATACAAACATTCCGTATAATGCGCGGCCAGGACTGGTGTCTCTTACCTGCTGATTTCTGTGAGTTAGCGACCACAACGAAACTCCGAGATAATCCACTCAAAATGCGCGTGACTGACGCCAGGCTGGATATTTAGAAGTTCTTTTTTTTCAAACAGAGCGATCGAGGCCTGGAATTCTCTGCCTACAGATGCCGTCATGTCCACTTCCGTCAAGGCCTTTAAACGCAAGTTGGACCAGTGTACCACCAAACGTCATAATGCCACCTGACCGACATCGTTCGAACAGTTTATTAATGTTGTTATATTACTGCCTGTTTTTCAGTAATGTTTGTTTTTTATTATTGTCTCATGTCTGTTGAATGTATGTTGGATTTAATTCGTCTCCCTCAGAAACTGAGATAGCACCAACTATCCATAGACAGACAACTGTACGGCACATTTAGTAACATTAATGTTTTTAACTCTTGGAACAATTCGTTTATCTGTCTGCCTTCGAAAATTTTGCCAATCTGAAGAAACTCTGCAACTGTTTGATGTTTCCATTTTCAAAATTTTGATATCGTTCCCTTCCTTGTAACAAGTAGGGAGTTCAAAGGTTCAACGCCTATATTTCCCTCAAATAAACTGAACTGAACTGAACAGACACAAAAGCCTTAGAATGGGCAGGACTTCTCGGCATTCATGCCATGTTAAATCAATTGTGGCTACGTTGGACCGGCCACCTTGTGAGGACTGAATACACATCGCTACAGAGACAACTCTTCCATGCTGATGTCGCCATGGGTAGTCGTCGACTCGGAGGACAAAACCAGCATTACAATGACACTTTGAAGGACTGTCCGAGACGGCCAAAGATCAGCCCAGAGACATGAGAGGACCACGCTCAGAACAGTCTGGCATGACGAAGAGAATTGTAGACGAGCGCAGCCATCTACGAAACCAGTCGGATCGCCGCCGCCAAAGCTATAAGGGAGGCTCGCAAGTCACATGTGCCTCGCCTCCTCAATGCCAATCATCCGTCGCTTTCAACAAGCCCGCGCTGCCGACGCGCATTCAACGCATGAATCGGTCTCGTAAGACACCTCGGGGCCCACTGTGCCATCAACGAGACAAAGTCTACTTCTTCTCTCAGTCTCGCGTCTTCTGCAAATCTCGCCCCCACCGCCACCCCCGTCACCGTCAATCACACTCTAGCTGCCCCTCCCCCGCCATTATCCACTGACACCATCCACTTTGACCCAACCACAGCACAGACCGTAGCGACCACCATTACCACCACCTGCACCACGAATTCACGCACTTCCCCTACCGATATCGCTTTCTACCACCATCATCATCATCATCATCATCATCATCATCATCACCAACATCATCATCATCACCACCACCACCGACAACAACAACAACAACAACACCAACACCGCTACCTCCAGCGATGTGGACTCGATTCATCCCTGCCCCCACCGCAATCGAACACTCGCCTCACACTTCGGCCTGGTCTGTCACTTGCGAATCTATCGCACAGAGAATGGCAAACCAGCTCCTGGGGCACCAGCATACACTCGCCGCGTCCGCCTCAACTGCCTTCAATGCCTCGCACACTCACTCACCACAGGGGGCTATTAGGCCATATGTGTATTCATGAGCATCCGCAGCAGACAATCACCGGCTATTTCACACCACCATTCCTTTCCCCACCAACACCTACACCACACAGTAGCCAGTGCGGCGGCCGTATGGGTACGGATTGATTCGCCTTGACCAACAAACGACGCCCACACTCTGTTCTGTTTATCGCGTATTTTTAAGGTTGCTTTTGCGATTTATAACGTTTTCATCCGTACAACCGGAATTTCAGCCAAACCTCCACCGATGACCTGGAGTCGGATTTTCGAGAGCATCAGCCATACCGACGGTGAAGTGCTGAATCGCATGCCAGTTTCCTGGATACTATAAATTTTTCTTTGTATATATAAATACTCGTACGTCAGTATTTCATAACTCTTGGAGACCGGTAAGAAATGCTGGGATGGAAAACTGCAGCTAACATTTGACGCTCAGCTAGTCACAACTCCAAACGAGGTTGGCAGAACCAGGCCTTAAATTGCTCATGAGGTGATTTCCGTTTTCATTTTGCTTTAGTTGATGCGTTAAGGCATCTTTTACGGCATTTGTCTTGTGAAGGACGCATCATTTTCTGTATTCTATGCCCTCCAGCAGTCCTCATTTTTCCCTCATCTGCCTCATCAACATCATCATTGTTATCGTCACCGTCATGGACATCGTCGATTCAGCAATCCATGGAGACGTGTTCGGAGGCGATGAGCAAGTACAGCTCTCGATACTCTTGGAATACGTCACCAACTCCTACCCAGTTATTCCTATTCGTGTGTCTCACGGAAAAGTTACCATCATAATAGACTCGGGATGTACTGGCGGGGTGCATTTTAAAACGAGGATGGTGGACTCAACTGCCTTCCGGATTCGCAACAACATGATATATTTAGAACAAGCTTAGCCGTACGACCGCAGTTGCATAGATGTTGCCAAACACTACCACTTGGAAGTCTCAAGGTTAAATTAATGCATGGGCTTACCACACTTTGTTTCCTGTCAGCAATGGGATGTGTTACCGTCGGGCAATACCCACCATTAACTGGCCCTCAAGAACAGCTCTTTTCCACATCGTTGGTAAGCTGGAATATTCAGCATATATCGCGGTCATACGACATGACCTTCCAAGGTGCTGACGGCCGCGATCGATACTGCCGCGTTTGAACTGCCCTGCTAGCGCACACAAGGAGGCATACGGCTGAAAATGGACTTCACTGACGGTTGTGACGTTGGGGCGCGCGTTTGGGCGTACTACCTGCAGGTTTGTCTGCCATGGGCAAGGAAGCTAGCAAAGCCGAGGCAACCATAGACCACGGCCCAGCGTAAGTACCTACGTGAATTTTGTGCCTTTAACTGCGCTTTGTTACTTGGTGCATGTGGCATCAGTACCCACGATGAGGGAGCTTCAGTTTTGCAATGAACTGTGGGGGCGAAATATGAGGGTGTCAAGATAACAAATTGCATTTCAGACAACATTTCATGATATCGATCACTCGCTTTACATAGGTCTAGCAACAAAAACATTTGAAAGATGTAACTCTTGAGCAAAAACTTGAGGAATAAATACGTTCTCAGGTTAGCAAATGTAAGAGATCCGGGTCGGTAATCTGAGGAGAATGAATTGCTCACCGGATCGGGGGACTTTTCTGGCTGACGTTTCGAAGAGCTGGGGCTGCTCTCCATTGTCAAAGCGTCAAGTGAAAAAATCGATCAGCATTTTTGAATAGACTGCCGCATTAGTTGACCCTGGGC